CCCCAAAACCCCAAAACCCCAAAACCCCAAAACCCCTTTCAGAACTAAAAATATAGAAACATGGTAAAATAAATCAGGATAGTTTAATATTGCAAGATGCATTAAATCATCTTGAACATTCTTGTAATCTTCCTATTAAGAGCCTAAGTTCTAGCAGTTATGGACACCTCAAAAATTAATCAAAATAGCCTATGATAAAATAAGTTTTCTACAAGATTTTTAATTAGGAAAATATTAAATTAACCCTTTAGTAGCCAAAGTGTTATCCTTAGGCTCTGGTTTGCAGGTCCATCAGAGCCTAAATCAACTTTTTCTGACCGTATTCTGAGAGAAATTACATCCAAAATACTGTATGCTATTGCTAAAGAAAGGATTGATTCCTTCGACAGATGTGAAGTCTTCTTTCAGGAAGATATACATCACAAATTCCTCACCTGTTCCTATATATATTAGAATTTATCGACCAAGAAATTTGGTTTCGGAATTGAATAATTATTCCATGATTAAAGGTAGATCTTTAAGAAGGCTGAAGAGGCTTACCTTTCCACTCAAAGGAGGTATGCTCGAATCCTTTTACGTTTTTATATAACTTGTTGAGGTATAGCAAAACTCCTCCAATTTTAAAATCACTTTCGGCAAATTTCTCATTTCAATACTTTCATGCATAGTAGATATCCTTGTCGACCTGGATGGGGCTGGCTAGCTAAATTTGTAAGTTAACACTTAAGTTAGGCACCTCTGAGAGGCCAGTTTAGCAACACTAAGGAGAGATAGCTTACATATTCCTTATTTTTGGCCATAAATGCCAGAAGTTTCCTCCGATCTTTGTACTTATTTTCTTGAAATTTTGAACTTTTTCCTAACTTTGCCTAATCTCCAGATCATGAGGCCTGGTTGCGTTCTGAGGAAATTAAGTGTGTAGAATACATCTCGTTCAAACTCATTGAGCATGACCCCATCAGGGATCTGTGGTAGGAAGGAGTTCTCTCCAGTGGACATTCTATGAGAAAAGGTTAACCCCACTCCTAATATCGCTTACTTCTCATATAACTTCTTGATGGAAACCTGTTGGCTATTCCCCATTCGATGATTTTGTGGGCAAATTCTATTAATTTCGAGATAATAGGGGTTTTGGGGTTTTGGGGTTTTGGGGTTTTGGGGTTTTGGGG